AAAAAATATCAAACTGGTATTAAATTAATATTAAAATAGTACTAATATATAATAAATTTACTATATATGAGTTGTGATTCACTCATATAAATTTATAATAAATTTGAATATCAAACTGGTATTGAGATAATATTGAAGTAATATTGTTAAAAGCCTTAATAATAATAATATAAATAGTTTTTATAATAGAATAAAGATAAAAAGAAATGCAAAAGAATAAAAGAATAAAAAACTATTATAAATCTTTTGTTATATAACTAAAAAATAAACAAGACTCTTTATTTTATTGTATCAATTATCATAAAGTTCTTAAGTTTTTAAGTTAAAGTTTACTTATTATTTATAATTAAATTAATAAGTTTAAACAAAATTTTTTTTAAATTATAAAATTTTATATAAAACTATTATATTTTTTCATTATATAATAAACAAAAATATTATAAAATTATAAAATTTTATTTTATTTTATTTTATTAATTTATATATATAAATTTTGTATTAGATTAAATAAAAATTTTGAATTTACATACATGTATTAAATATAAAATTTAAGTATAAAAACAATAAAAAAAATATTTTAAATAATTTAAGTTATAAGTTTTCAAAAATATTTTTATATAAATTTTTATAATATTTAAATAATTGTTAATAAAATTAATTTTAAAAAATTATAATTCATACTATATATATGATAAATTAGAAATTAAAATAATAAATCAAATTTTTATTATATAAAGATTAATTAAAAATAAAAATAGAATTACGACAATATTCATATACAGTATAATGTATACTGTGTATCAACGAGCAATTAATTCTTTTTTTGTGGGATTATTTTTTTTATGAAAAAAAAAATAGAAAAAATATTTAAATATTAATATTTTATTATAAGATCTCTATTGATACATAATTAAAAATAAAATCAGCTCTCGAATAATGTTCAGTGGTTGGATAGACTCGTTCGCCATTCGGATTAATTATTAAATATAAAACTATCGCGAAATTATATTTCCATTACATCAATATTCCTTCATGAGTGGATAATTAAATATTCATTGATGCATGGCGTATTTGCAGGTACCACATCAGCATGGTATGTAGGTCCGCAGTTTTAATTAAAATACTTAAATTTTTGAAGTTTCTATCAAGCATCAAGCAAAAGGAAATCATAATGGTACATAGAATTGATCTCATGACTACGCGCACAACACGCATCTTTCTTTTGCAACTTCAAAGCTTTGATAAAAACGATCCATCAACACTTTAGGCTATTATAATTGTATATTAAAATGAATTTCTATTGCTTATCTCACGGGACCCAATTATATCTTTTCGTCTTTGAAATGGGGACAACCTCCGTTAATGGAGTTCAATTCGCTTTTATTTCGTGCAAAAAAGGACAGTCAATGAGATAATTATTTTCTTCCTAGTTAGATGCGATATACATGTATTCGATTAATAAGATGTTCGGTGACTTTCTCCACCAAATGACATCAAATGGTTTTAGTACCGTCAAATTAGGGTGAACTAATTACAAAATGCCTAAAATAGGTTCCGCTCACTAATCGATGAACGAAAAATATGTACGCAGTACAAAAGAAAAAATCTGATAAATAGAGAAGAACCCTGAATACATCTTCTTCGTCGTACTTTGTGTTCGTCATCGTAATGCCACCTCTCCGTCGCCCCGCAAACAATTTTATGTATTTCAGGAGTCACTATTCCCGTATTTTAAAACGTCAAAACCCGGGAATTACGCAGAAGGAAATCTCAAAAATCCTCAAGAAACAGTGGCACAGTATCAGCCCCAAGGAATACAATGAATGGACGATAAAGTCGTTAGAAGGGCGTATCCAAAATCGAAGGACGGATCCCTTCTACCGATATGACAATCACCTACCACTCTCGACGGAGGATAGGATGTTAAGTCAACCTCTTCCTCGTGATCTTTCCACGGAAGGATCATCGTGTCCTTTTATAATCGAGAACGTGGCGAGTGTCGAAGACTTTGAAAGGTCGACCAAGGAGGATTGGATGGAGTGGGTCGACTGGGAGGGAAATAGAATTTAATTGTAATGACACAACACCGAAATCCATCGAACACATAGTATGACCACTCGATTTTAATATTCGTTATCGTATCGCTACGTTATGTCAACCGCAACCGGCGAATTGTACTACGCACATCTCGAGTATGTGATAAAAAAAGAACATAGAATAATCTTAACCCAAAAATGTTTTTTCGTCAATTTTCAATTTTATATTCCAAACTAATCTGTACTTCGAGGTCTAATATATGC